TGTAATTTGGTTCATATAATCAGTCTAGTTCAGGGGTCTTCAAACTACAGCCCGCGGGCCACATGCAGCCCGCAGAGGAGTCTGATCCGGCCCGCCAGGTTTTTGGGGCAGTGAGTGCAGCCGAGGTGTTACAGTAGGAATTAGTAGTTCATATAGTCTGGCCCTCCAGCTCTCTGAGGGACCGTGATCTGGCCCCCACTTTAAAAAGTTTGAGGACCCCTGGCAGTTCTTCAAAAGTGAAAATGAATGAAAATAAGTATGAAACTGTGATAGAGTAATGCTCTCTTCACTACCCGCCCCCCCACCCCCCCCCAAAAAAAAATTGTGACCTAAATTCTGAAATTTGTAAGTAGGTTAATTTATATGTGAAAAGGGAATTTTCAGATATGATTAAGTTAAGAGTTTTGAGATTGGGAGATTATTTTGGATTATCTGGGTGGTCCAACATAATCACAAAGGTTTTTATAAGAGGAAAGTAGGAGGGTTACAGTAAAAGAATGTGACAATGGAACAGAGGTTGGGAATAATGCAGCTATAAGCCAAGAAATTCTGGTGGCCTTTAGAAGCTGAAAAAAAAAAATCAATGAACAGATTCTCTCCACGTGTCCAGAAAGAACACGGCCCTCCCAACTCTTTGCTTTTAGCCCCATAAGATCTATTATGAACTAGATTCATTCCTGTTATTTTAAGCCACTCAGATTGTGGTAATTTGTTACAGTAGTGATAAGAAAGCAATACACTTACGATGCATCTAGTGTTGTAAATATTGTAGACAGCAATTTTATGCAAATTTTTTCAAGGGGAATGTTTTATTACAAACTTTATTACTGAGGCTGTTCACCCATTCAATTTGGAGAGAGCTTCTGAAAGTTACCATGATTGGGAAGTTTAATGGGATGGGCCAAAAATAGATACATATTCTGTTGTGTTTTTTAATCCAAGTTTAGACAAGTCCGTTGATCTTGGTCAATGCCTTACTGTAAGGTTTATCTCTGTACAGCAGAAGTGAGAAGAGAACCAATGAGCTGAAAGATAACTCAATCAATCTGCTTCCTCCGTCTTTGCTTCAGTGCTTCATACAGGAAATCTATTGCTGTGTCAAGTTCCAGAGAAGAGTTTCTTCTGTTCCAAGTTACTAATCAGTTAGAAACACATAGAGTTGAAGGAAGCGGCCAGAAGGAAAGGAGTGCCTGGCTGCTGATGGCCTAAGAGGATTCAGCTCGGAGAAGTGGCCAGAGAGAGCCTCACCATGCCCTCAGCTCCTTTTGCACCTGTGTGGAGGAGAAGGGCTGAGTGAAGGGCGGAAAAGAAGAGAACAGCAATGCCCTGCTCTTGGAGAACTTCTGACCTACAGTTACTACTGATGTTGACTGTCTTTTTAGTGGCTGGTAAGTTTGAATTGTCTTTGGAAGAGTGACAAGAGAATGACTGGTGAGAAACCTGGTTTCAGATTTTCCGGTGCTTTCTTTGCCTTTCTTCTGGAGTAATACAAGATAAATACAGACATAGATATGGGGGATGGGGTTGCTCACAGATTTATTTCACTTTATTATCCTTATTTTACTTGTACTTATTTTACTTCATATCTGACTACAGTATACTCATTTCTATGATTTGCCTCATTGCCCGTTTTCTTATTTTCCCTTCCCTCCCCCCCTTTTTTTTTGTTTTTGAATGAAGCTGAATACATTAAATACTTTCTAGTAGCAATCCAAGTCATCTGGGTCCTCTTTATCTTCTCTCTCTCTTTTTAAACAAGATTTAAAATAATACTTTCAACCCATTTAGGTCCATATTGTTAATATAAATTAGGAAATTTTATTGCTTTCTAGCACTTTTTATGACCAGGTGCTTTTTAAAACATAATATGCTCAGAGTTTGGTGGTACATCTGCAATGTATGTCTGTGTTTAGTTTTAAGAGGTGCAGGCTGTGAAAGACACTTTCTGTGCTGGAGGACACACTTCAGTGCCTAGGGTGCTGTGGTTGTTTAGAGGACTTGGGACTGTTGTGGGGGTGTCCTGGTTTCACTGTAGAGAGTTGGTAGGAGTTGATGTGGGAGGGAGCTTTTAGGTTTCGCTTTTAGTAAAGGGAGCAGTGACAAGGAAACAGTGTAGTTGGTTTTAAATTTTGTAATTTGGTAATTGAAAGAAGAAAAGGAATTTTTTTTCCTCATATGAAATTTCAAAGTATTGCTTATCTTCCAGCTAAAAAAAACCATTTTGCACACGATAATCTTACTGATGAGCACACACAAAATAACCAGACTGTACTACTGTACCTTTCTGTGCAGAATTTTCACATACTTTTCCTCCTTTGATCTGCACAGCAACTCAGCGAAATAGGCATTTTACAAAGATAGAAACTGAAGCTTAGAGAGGTGACAGGATTTGCCCAACACTAATAGTATATGGCAGTCACAGCATATAGTGGGTGCAACTATAAGCATCAATAAACGTTTGACTAGGCAATTTCCCTCACTATTTAGCCATTATACTTTTCTTTCTTTTTTTTAAAAAAAAATATATTTTATTGATTTTTCACAGAAAGGGAGAGGGATAGAGAGCCAGAAACATTAATGAGAGAGAAACATTGACCAGCTGTCTCCTGCACACCCCCAACCGGGGATGTGCCCGCAACCAATGTACATGCCCTTAACCAGAATTGAACCCGGGACGCTTCAGTCCACAGACTGACACTCTATCCACTGAGCCAAACTGGTCTCGGCCATTATACTTTTCACACTATTAAGAGCACCACTGAAGAAAAGTTAAGCCAATATTGGCTATAAATTTAGTGGTATATTTATTTATAAAATAATCCAGTGATCTGAATCTTTCATTAGTGTTAACTAATGAAATTTTTCTCTTGTTGGAGAAAGCTAGTGCAGAAACCTGTGCAGAACCCAACTTGTCAAAGAAGCCATTTGTATGATTACAGATGGTTACTACATTTAGGATAGCAAACACATTATAAGATACTTACTGTGCTGTACACCTGAAACTAATGTGCTATTGTATGTCAACTATACATCAAGTAATAAACATTTCATTTTCCCTTAAAAGATTAAAACATAATTGATAATTTTGAATATTAATGGTTTAAAGGTTTGAGTTTTAAAACTATTTCTAAGCCCAACTAGGGATACTACATATATAAAATATCATACCTGAAGTCTCTGCTTTAATAATTATAAACTTATCAAAATGTCTGGAATCAAGTTATGGAAAGCAAATTCTATGCAGTGATTTGGCATAATAGATTCACCATGAAATAATTTAGAATAATAATCAAACCGCCTGAAGCATGAATTTGCCTTTATTACTGGTATTACTTTAATAGCTTTGTATGTTCTAACAAAACTTATATAAGGGTCACAATCAGTTAATCATTTCCAGGAAGAAACCATATTGTTCAACCATGAACATTGCGCAAACAGATTTCAAGTTTTTTTTTTTTTTTGGTAGAGTTTATATGCCTTTTCTGTTCAAAAAACCTAGAAATACTGCCAAACATAAATAACTCACTTTAATTCAGCGAATGACTTCAATGTAAAACATAGCATTAAAAAAACGCACATAAAACCTACTTTCATCTTTACTAATTTGCTTATAAATTCAAGCAATGTGGCAGTTGGTCCACTAACTTTATTCAGAAAATACCTGAGGGGAAAGATTAAAAAATCGTAAATGGTCCGAACTTGCAACTTTGATCTCTTTTCTTTGTATTCCCTTCACCCCATACCACTTCTTCCTCCTTATTTTAGCAAGTTATCTTCTAGTTTTTTCTTGTGTTCAAATTATATTCCAATTAATACAATTCTACCTTTTATAAAAGTCACTGATGCCAAAACTGGTTTGGCTCAGTGGCTAGGTCATCGGCCTGCAGACTGAGGTGTCCAGGGTTCGATTCTGGTTAAGAGCATGTACCTTGGTTGCAGGCACATCCCCAGTGGGGAGGTGTGCAGGAGGCAGCTGATCGATGTTTCTCTCTCATCGATGCTTCTAACTCTCTATCCCTCTCTCTTCCTCTCTATGAAAAAGCAATAAAATATATTTTAAAAAAGTCACTGATGCTGAGATTATGCATGAATTGCTGAAAATAAATTCTCCCCCTTTCTTCCTTCCTTGACCATTTAGCATTATGTTCCACTAGATGGCAGGCAGTAACAACAAGAAGAGTTATAATCAAGACAGGAATGATTTGCTTCAGCTGGTTTGCAAAAGAAGGAACAGGGATTAAAAGCAATTGTGAAATCATATGGTTCTTTTAAAAAATTGCAAAAAAGAAGGGGTTTGTCTTCATTAATTTCAGTTCTATCTTCCTTTCTTGGTTTGTGATAGTTGCAAATTTACATATTACAACAATTTTAGGTATGTTTTCTCTAAACATCCATGCTTAAGCAATTAATAAACAAATCAAAAGCCATGGTTAAGAACACTGAGTGTGTGTGGAGGGTATGTGTTATCTGTGAATAGTGCCTAAAAGTTATTAGCAGACTAAATTAGGGAAAACAAGCTAAGATGACATTTTAAGAGAACTTTTAAGAAAAACCTTTATTGTTGAGAGTATTACAGATGTCCCCCTACTCTGTCCTTCCGCCCCATTGCCTCCCTCCACCACCCTATTTTCTGTGTCCTTAAGTATTTCACAGATGCATATATGTTCTAGATACATATACGTTTTTTGATTAATCTCTTCCTGTTCCCCTTTCTGCCTTCTGTTTTATTAATTTTATTATTTCTTAAATTTTATTGATTTATAGAAAGAGACCAACAAAAGGAGAGGGAGAAATATTAATTTCCTGTTCCATTTATTTATGCATTCATTGGTTGATTCTTGTATGTGCCCTGACTGGGGCTCAAATCCACAATACTGGCATACAGTGATGCTGTTCTAATTAACTGCGCTACCCGGGCAGGGCAAGACATTGTTTATGAATCTAGTAAAACATGAGAGAAGTTACAGTGGGATGGAGCTGTCAAAGACTTTGTGGAAGAGATGGGTCTTGAGCTGAATGATGCGTTTGGGTTGATGGGGAAAGGTAGAGATAGAAGTAAGGAGGAGCAGGTGTGCAGTATGAACAAAAAAGCAAGTTGTTTTGGGAAGAGAATGAACTCTCCTGATGAAATGGAGATTGAGTGTGAAAAGATCATAGACAAAAAGGCTGAATCTCAGGAGACCTTGATAACTAAACAGAGGAACTTGGATACTGTGCAGTAAGCATTGAAGAGCCACCTGCTGCTTTGTGAACAGGAAAACAATATAATAAAGTGATATTTTTAGGGAATAATGTGGCAGCAGTGTCCCCTTCAGTGGGAGTGGCATTTGGTGAAAGACTAATTTTGCAGAAAGAGTCAAGAGTTCCTACCCTTGGATTTTATTTTAGAAAGTCCTATGTTTCTGCTGTGAGACATTGGTGGCTGAGAAGAGAAGTTTCTTTGCAGAGGAAGATGTTAAAGTCAATGCAGGGAGAGAGGAGAACTAAGAGGGAAATTCCTATACATACCTGGAAATATAACACAATCTAGGATTTGTGAATCATTCATGAAGTGGAGGGTCCCACAAAGGGAGTCTTCATAAAGATAAAAATGGTAGAATAGGCGCTATATACTTTTGTATTTAGGTCTTAGGAGCAATAATTATTTCTTTCCTCTCAATAACAGAGGGCAAGATCTGAGAAGAGAAGACAAGGCAATTTTTAATCTTAAATAAGAAGAGGAAAACTTTTTTTTTTTTTAAATCAACACCCGAGGATATTTTCCCATTGATTTTAGCAACAGTGGAAGAGGGAGGGAAAGACAGAAAGAAATATGGATGTGAGAAAAACACATCGACCGGTTGCCTCTTGCATGCATCCTGACTAGGGTCTAGGCTGGACTAGAACCCAGTACCCTTCAGTCCGCAGTTTATCCACTAAGCCAAACCAGGTAGGACAGAAAACTCTTTCGAAATTGCAGAGTAAGATGAAAAGTTAAATATAGAGATTATAATAAATTGAGACTAGAAATAAGTAGATGATACAGTTCCACAGTTTCATAGTAGATAAGTTGCCTCCCAACAAGTCATGAATATTTCAGTTAATGTTGCTAATTAATAAAATAACTCAGTTGTCATTTGGTTTCATGATTTATCTAAAAAAATCAGACTGCACAGTGACTAAAATTCAGTAATCATTGATAGACTTTTCCTCCTTGATATCAGTGACACACGGGTAACTTCTGATTAAGATTAGGGAGATCTATGGTTATGAAATAGCTTTGTATGTTCTAACAAAACTCACCTCAGGGTCACAATCAGTTAATTATTTGCAGGAAGAAACAACATTGTTCATGCATGAACACTGAGCAAACAGTTTTGAATTTTTTTTTTTTCATAGCTAAAGTTTACATGCCTTATCTGTTCAAAAAGCCTTAAAACAATCTGAACAACATAATCTTATGTGTGTTTATGGAAAACAGTATAGACAAGTACTAGAAACTAAACTGAAAGATTTTAGACGTAAATCATTTTCTTTAAAAATATCTGCTCCTTTGAGTTGTTCATGCTGTTGCAGGCTCTGTCTGAAGCAAACTCTGAGATAGAGTTTGGAGTAGAGAATGCTTATTAGGGAGGACAGTTGGAAGAAGCACCTGGAAGGGTGAGTTTGCAGAGGGAGAAGTCTACTTGCAACCTCAATCCTTGACTCCTTCCCATTCATGGGAAGCTCTTGAGTTAGAATAGTCTTAGAGAGGCCCTCTATTTTATCAATGTGACTGGGCCTTTATACTTTCATCTCAGTCAGCCATTAAATGCGGGATACCCTGAGAAGGTTCTGACTTCGGCAAAGTCATTGAGTTGGTCTCTGAAGATGCTGATAACTGAAGGCTGTCTGCCGATAGTGCTCTTAGCAGTAACAGCCAAGAATCATTCCTTCAAGGAGATTCTGAGTGCATACACTATGTCCACCAGAGCTGCTATTTCCAAGTTCTCATTGCTTCCTGAATTTCTGACTTTGTCTGGTATTATTTCCCTTCAGCCTAAGTAATTTCTTTTATCATTATTAGTAGTGTAGGCCGGCTGGTGAAGAATTCTTTTAGTTTCCTTTTGTCTAAATATGCTGCATTCTTGAAGCATATTTTTTGCTGGATATAGAACTCTGGCTTGGCTTTCATTTTTCAGCATCTTAAAAATGTTCTTTCACTATTCCTGATGAGAAGTCAGCAGACATTCAAATTATTGTTTCCTTGGTTATAATGTCATTTTTCTTTGGCTGCTTTAAAGATTTTTCTCTTTATTGTTTTTAGTACATGTTATATGTCTATGTATGGTTATTTTCATATTTATCCTGCTAGAAGATTACTGAGATATTTGAATTTGTATATTTATGATTTTCAGTAAATTTTGCAAAATTTTCAATTGCTATTGCTTAAAATAATTTTTCTGCTAACTTTGTCTTTCTTGTCTTTCTAGAACTCAAATTGCACATATATTTAAAGAATTTTTGCTGTTTCATCTCTAGTCTCTGTGGTTATTATGTTTTTAATCTCCTTTTTCTCTCTTTCACTCAGATTGGATAATTTTTATTGATATATTTAAAGTTTGCCTACAATTTTCTGTCTCATCTCCATTCATCTGTTAGGCCCATTTATGGAATATTTTATTTTAATAGTGTATTTTCAATTTTAGAATTTCAATTTATTTTTTAACTTGCTTATTTTTCTCTGTTGTGATTTTTCTGTGTTTTCATTTGTTGTGAGTATATTTTCCTTTACACCACTGAGCATAGTTTAATATCCAATTTAAGGTCTTGTTTGATAATCCCAATATCTGGATCACCTTAAGTTTGGTTTTCCTTTAATGTTTTTTTTCCTCCCAAGAAAGAATGAGCCACATTCACCTAGTTCTCTGTATATTGAGCAATTTTATTTGGATATTGAATATTGTATCATAGAGACTCTAGATTTTGTTATATTGCTTTGTTGACCTCACTCCCTCCTCCAGAAAACATTTAACTTAGTTGGACTCAATGGCTAAGCCTTCCTCGTGAACAGGGCTTTTACATTTATCCAGTTGGCTTCAGGTGTTTTCCTGCCACGTGTGGCTTGGAGTCAGTGAGCGAGATGTTGGTAGAGTCAGTGAGAAAGAGTTTGAACTCTTTCACACAGAATTTGGAACTCTTTCTCTAGCTGCTTCTCTCAATTTCCACAGACCAAGGTTGCACCAAAATTTGTTCTCTTCTTCAGAAAACTGTGGGTTTTTCTATTAGATCTTTAAAAAGCTCAATGTGGTTCCAATTGCAGCCTTTCTTGAGACTAAAAGTGGAAAAAAGGGGAAAAACGGGAACCTATACCCTCAACTCCGAACCACTTCCTTATTCCAAGAATTGACATTCTTCAAGAATCTTCTTGCTTTTTCCACTCTCCAGTGGCTTCAGATAGCAGTTTTTATATTTTCCCAGAATTTATAGTTGTAATATGTGAGAGCTTATTTTGCTATAAAAGAAGTGGAACTTTCTTCAAATTCATGTATTTTTAAACTCATTGTGCTTTTTAAAAAAAATATATTTTATTGATTTTTTACAGAGAGGAAGGGAAAGAGATAGAGAGCTAGAAACGTTGATGAGAGAGAAACATCGACCAGCTGCCTCTTGCACACCCCCTACTGGGGATGTGCCCGCAACCCAGGTACATGCCCTTGACCGGAATCGAACCTGGGACCTTTCAGTCCTCAGACCGACGCTCTATGACTGAGCCAAACCGGTTTCGGCTCATTGTGCTTTTTAAAAAATGTGTTTTTATTGATTTCAGAGAGGAAGGGAAAATGAGAGAGTTAGAAACATCAGTGATGAGAGAGAATCATTGATCAGCTGCCTTCCTCACATCCCTGACTAGGGATCGAGCTCACAACATGTGCCCTTGACCTGGAATCAAACCTGGGATCTTTCAGTCTGCAGGCCAACACTCTATCCACTGAGTCAAAGCAGCTAGAGCTAATCTCATTGTGCTTTTATCAACTGATATTGATTTGGCTGGTTATATTATTTTTGGACATTGAGATAAAATGCGTTACATTATTAAATGCCTTTTTGCTTTCTAAAATTCATTCATGCATTGAATATCTTGGTATTTTTCACTTCCTCAACAAAATATCAGTACTCTTTCCCCCAATTTCTAGATTCTTATAAATATTTTTGTTGGCTTTAAAAGTATGTCATGAGATTGTGTCACCTTTAACAAATTGCTTACTCTTTGTAGATAGTAATATCCTCATTTGTGAAGTGAAGGAAATGTGTGAAACTACTGTGTTTCCCAGAAAATAAGACATCCTCCGAAAATAAGACCTACTTACAGGTTTTCTTCTGAATGAAATATAAGGCATCCCCCAAAAATAAGGCCCCCTAGGCTCTGTCTCAGAATGAAAATTAATTTACCTTACCGTATACAGGTAATACATTTCCTTTATTTTCATTTAACAATAAATGTGTACTGTATTCTTCTTCATGGAAAAATAAGACATCCCCTGAAAATAAGACCTAGCACATCTTTGGGAACAAAAATTAATATAAGACACTGTCTTATTTTCGGGGAAACAGGGAATTGAGAAGTATAGAGCTTTCATAAAAGAAGTTTAGAAGCTTTTAAATTAATACTTTCATTTTATACATAGACAAATAAAGCTTAGGAGTGTTCAAGGAATTATTAAGGACATTACCAAACTTTTAGTGGATGAGCTGAGCTTGAAACTCCTTCATAGCACCAAAAAAATAGCAAGGAAAAGAGATGTGGCAAGTGGGGAAATCTATGACTTTTAGATGTGATGCACCAAAAATGGCAGAAGGTATTGGAATAGAAAAAAAGGACAGATACAGAATTGAGATTCCTGTTTAGGAAAAACAAATTAAAGTTAAATGTGGGTCACTTGTTCTGTTAGTCAATAAGTAAGGGAGTGTCTTTCATGTGTCAGACACTGTGCTTCATGCTAGGATACTTGAGCAAGACAGACACGGATCCTGCTCTCATGGAACTTGGAATCTTCTAGGAATTATACATAACAAATCATTGCAAATAATTAAATTATACAAACTGTGCGAAGAGAAGTAGAGGGTGACATAGAAATACATGATTGATATATCTAATCTGCTCTGAGAGCAAAAGAAGGCTTACCTGTGGAAGTGTTATTTAAGATGAAGATGAACAGAAATAGCTAGCAAGAAGAGTTGGGGAGATGAACCTTCCAGACAGGTTAAACAGCCTGTATGAAGGACAGAGGGAGTTAAGTTGTGATTAAAGTGGTAAAACAAGGAGAAATCAACTGTGTAGAGGCCCAGGTGAAGTTCTGGGGGTGGGTAGGAAAATGGAATAAAGAACAACGAGGAAGAAGAGCAGGTGAGACTTCGAGGGAATACTACACTAAGATGCCTGAGGAAACAGGCAGGCTTGCAGAGAAGAAGACAAGCAGGGAAATGGATAGGATAGTGGTGGTCATGAAGGAAGGGGTTTTAGGTGAGGAAAGTGGTTAATAGCATCTGAATGTGCCAAGAAATCCAGGAGCACAAGCACTGAAGAAGTACAGAACGTGTGAGGATGCCCCTTCCAAGTTGTGCTTTGAATTGGAAGGGTGTGGGAGCCACAAGATTGCTGGTCTCAAGGAGAGACGGGGTGGGGAGGAAATCGAGGCAGTGGGCACAGACCACTCTTTCTAGAAGTCTGGCAGCAAAGAATGGATTAAGTTTAGTTAGACGGAGAAAACAGCATCTAATTCCCCACCCCCGCATCAACATAGGAGAAACCTGAATGTGTTCAAAAGTATCATTTGAAAACATGCAGTGATTTGGTAAAAGTGATTTTTCCAAACTGGGTGTGTACATATGTAGCTTTAAATTGCTTAGTGATTTCTTTTTGTCCTTGCCATTTTGTTAATTTACCATGAAATACTATCTTTCCCCAAAGCTTTACCTATTAGGTAATATAAGAATATCTAATTATATTATGCATTTTGTAGTACTGACAAATTTTTGAAAAGATATCCAACTAGTAAAACTTGATAGATTTAAAATAATGAAATCTAGCTATTTTTATTCTCCAGAAAGATAATTCTATCTTATTCTTTATTGACTCCCTCGCCAAAGGTTGTTTTAAACCAGTAATTTAAAGCAGGTCAGTTGCAAGATTTTTCAAAGAAAAGAAATGGGGGAAAAATAGTTATAAAGAACCATTGAACAGACTGTCAAACTATAGCAGGAAGGCAAGGGAGGTTGGTGGGGGGGAGGCTGTAAGAAATCAATCTAAGGACTTGTCCAATGGATACAAGACACAGGGCAGGGGGCAGGTGAAGGCATATGCAGGGAGTAGGGGAGGCTGGAAGGAGGGGGGAAGAAAAAAGACTTATGTACTACTATTTGTAATGCTTCAAACAATAAAAAAATAAATTAAAAAAAATAAAGCTGGTTGACAGGCAGAGTTGCCTGTAGAGCCTAAAATATTATACTGTGGTGCCTGCTCAAGTCTATTTAATTGGAATTTTCAGAGAATACAGTCTGGGCATCTTTGCAGATGATTCTAATGGGAGCCAGGATTAAGAACACTGTCCTAGGTCTCTCTTTATCACCTAAACTGTCACTGTTGTTTCTTATACTCAGCACATGGCTGCTTACCTTCTGATTTATTCATCATCCAGTGCAGGCATCTTTAACTCCCTCAGATAATAAGATTTCTTAGGGCAGAGACCTTGCCTACCATTCCCAAAGCTCTGCACAGCTACCTGAGGCCGAGTAGGTGTACCCAGAAAATGTTTGTTAACCTAAACTTCTTCAAAATGTCTGTTTTGTCTCTAACCCTTCTGCTCCTCTCTCAGAGACTGAGTATCAATCTTTTCAAAAGCTGACATCCATTTTGCTCCCAGCACCTCTAGGATCCTGCTTTACCATTTAGCCTCCTTCATTCTTGTAACACAGCTCACTTCTCTTTCAATCGCCTGTGTTCTCTACTCTCAGATAACCCACTCAGTCTTCATAGTTCCA